AACATCCCGCTCGCCTCGTATAGTGACAGGAGACGAAACTATGATCTTTAGCGACATCATTCGATGCGGTTGACGATAGTCGAATCACATACGCGGTCTGACGGTCGGAGGAATACAATATTCAATGTAACAAGGATGATGAGGTTGAATTACAGTTATCAATTAACATGAACCTTACAATAATGCTTATATAATATATGTACAACTTACTACTAGGGGAAGGAATATGACTTATGTACATTACGGCGTTCAACTTACAGCTAAATGTGTACAACTTACAACTAGGAGAGGAAATCTAACATATGTACATTACGGCGATCGACTTAGAGCCGTAGTTATAGATCGCATTTTAAGAGTCGGCGTCACGGTGGATAGGTAGTCGACAGATCTGCGTAATTGGTTGTTTTAGTTTCGTTTTCTCGGTGCGTAACGAGACGATGCGAACGTGATGATCTGCTCCAGGATGGACCTCGATTATTCGAGCGAGTTCCCACTTAGACGGTGGCAGGGAATTATTTTTTAAGAGGACCAACTCATCGACCTTTAATTCAGGTTGATTCTCCCGCCATTTCTGCCTTTGTTGCAGCGTGTGCAAATAATCAGATGACCACGTTCGCCAGATCCTCTCGAGTATAGCGCGTACTTGTTGCCATCGCGACAATCGGTTTGAGTCGATGTCTAAAGTCGATTCCTCAGGGGGACAGACCAACGGACGACCGATCAAAAAGTGACCCGAGGTTAAGACGGAAAAATCAGTCGGATCGTCATGTAACGCAGAGATAGGTCGTGAATTTAAACATGCCTCAATTTGACACAGTAACGTAGCGAACTCGAGTTGCGATAACGTGCGAGACCCGATAATTCTTTTAAGGTGATACTTTAATCCTTTTACGCCGGCTTCCCAAAGTCCACCAAAATGTGGAGCAGCGGGAGGTATAAAATGCCAAGTAATATTGTCGGTAGCAATGGAGTCTTGGAGCTGAGGGTCAGCGACCAATCGCTGAAACGCGATCGCTAACTCGCGATCAGCACCTTGGAAATTAGTTCCGTTGTCGCTATAGATATCGGACGGTAGACCGCGACGACTTACGAATCGTTTGAACGCGGCGAGAAACCCGGCGGTAGCGTAGTCATCCACATACTCTAGATGAATCGCTTTAGTCGCAAGACAGATGAACACCACAACGTAATATTTCCGTGTGCGTTGTCCTCGACCGACCGTCGGGATTATATTCATAGGTCCGGCGTAATCGACGCCCGTGTGCGAGAACGGGGCCGATGGGGAGACGCGAGGTTTGGGAAGGTTCCCCATTAGTTGCTGCATCGTGAGCGCGCGTTCACGGACGCATCTTACACAATTATGTATATGCGATTTGACGCTAGTGCGGGCCGAAAGAATCCAGTAGTTTTGACGCAGGATTCGGAGGGTCAGTTGTGTGCCGCCGTGAAGAGAATCTTTATGCGCGCGCGCAATTAATAGATCCGAAATTCGGTGTTTCGGTAATACAACCGGATGACGCTCGTTATAAGTTAACGATGAGTTTTCGATCCGCCCGCCAAGGCGGATTAATTTATCCTCCCCGAGAAAGGGGTGAAGAGATCGTAACGCGCTAGATTTGGCGATCGACCCGGAGTTGCTTAGAGCGTGGAATTCGGACGAGAAGCTGATGTGTTGCACGTAACGCAGCCAAAACACGGACGCACCCTTGAGTTCGGACGCGGATAGCCTTCCGTTGCATTTGTCTAGTCCGGAAACGCGACATCGGGAGTTGAAGACAAAACGTTTTACGTACGCGGTGACTCTAACTAATTTTGTGAATGTGGAAACTTCGTTCGGCAATTCCCATTCTTGTATCTTTTGTATGAGACACACGTTAATTTTGCGAGATTCGGACTCAATGAAAACTTGATTAGTATCGAGCTGAGCTTGGAATTTATTTCGGTTCGGCCATGCGGGAGAATGTGCGTGTAACCAAGCGGGACCAGACCACCAAAGTTCAAACTCTCGGAATTCCGCGGGCGATAAGCCTCGAGACGCGCAATCCGCTGGGTTTTCTTTAGACGGAACATGATTCCATTTAATGGACGGAAGACGCGTTTGTACTTCCGATACGCGATTCGCGACATACGAGTTCCATCTCGAAGAATGTCCTTGGAGCCAAGCGAGAGCGACGGAAGAATCCGACCATCCGTACGTCGGGATATGTTTTAGGTCTAATGAATTCTGCACTGATTCCAGCAAGCGTGTTAGTAAGACAATCGCGTTTAATTCTAGTCGCGGAACACTAATCGTTTTAATTGGCGCTACCTTTGATTTAGCCGTTAACAAAGTAATCGAAACTTCACCAGGCGACCGTAGGATTTTTAAATAGACGACCGCAGCGTAAGCGCGGTTCGAAGCGTCTGCGAATCCGTGTAATTCGACGCCCATGTGCTCCGGAAGCATACCGGTCCATCGACGTATGCGAATTTCCTTTCACTCCGTAAGTTCCGTATAATACCTTTTCCACGACGGAAGTAATGCGTCCGCGATAGGAGAATCTCAATCGTATTTTTGAATCCAAAGTTCCTGTATTAAGATCTTCGCGGTAATTGTTACCGGAGACGCCCATCCTAGCGGATCGAAAAAACGCGCGATGAACGACAGAACGGAGCGTTTTGTATTTACTCCGAGCGACGGTGGCTCGATATGGAATCGAAAGGCATCTTCATTGGGAATCCACGTGAGACCAAGTACCTTGAGCGTGTTGTCTTTATCAAACGGGTGCTCAATCGCGAGTTCGTGTTCTCCAGGAGGTATATCCTCCAATAATTCCTTTAAATTCGCGGCCCATTTCCTTAAATGAAATCCGCCTCGCGTCATTAGCTTCGTAAGCTGATCCCGACTTTCGCGGAGCGACTGGATGTTGTCGGCGCCGAATAGTACGTCGTCAACATAGAGGGAATTTTGTATAATATCTCGCGCGAGTGGAAACGAGGAGCCGTCGTCAAGAGCCAATTGATTGACGACTCGCATCGCGAGATACGGAGCCGGAGCAGTACCGTAAGTGACGGTTAAAAGCCGATAAGATTGAATTGGACGATCGTCTCTTGATCGCCAGAGAATTCGAGTGAAATCAACGTCATCCGGATTAACGCGAATTTGACGAAACATTTTTTCGATATCCGCGGTATATACGTAACGAAATTGTCTCCAACGAAGGAGGATCGTAGACAACTCACGCTGCAATTTAGGCCCGGTCATTAGATGATCATTTAGCGTAGTTCCATTAGAGGTTTTGCACGATGCGTTAAATACTACGCGAAGCTTAGTCGTGCTGCTGGACTCGCGTAAAACAGGATGATGCGGTATATATACGGGAGGAAACCGCGTCGGATTGGAGTCGGAAACGAGTTCCATATGACCTTTCGTCACGTAGTCGTTTAAAAATTCGTGATATTGCCTGGCAAGATCCCTATTTTTTTGTAAGCGGCCTTCTAACTTAGAATATAGCAGCGCGGTGGTTTCGCGAGAGGCCCCGATCCTGATCGGAGGATCGGTTTTAAAGGGCAACCGTACAATATAGCGACCGTCCGGGCCGCGTTGATGTGTTTCAACAAAATGTTGTTCGCATCGTTTATCTTCATCCGACATCTGGGGGACAGAAGAGACTTCCTCGATTTCCCAGAATCTCCGGAGAAGAAATTCGATCGAGGGTTCCGAAACGCAGTTCATCGATTGGACGGACCCGTCGCTTAATTCCGAAGCGTCAGTAGGCCCGGATAAAATCCACCCTAAGGAGGTGAGTTGAGCCGTCGGCGTCCCGATCGGGCCCTGCTTGATTTGGTGTAATAACAGAGATCCGTATAAGTCTGCCCCGATAAGCAGATGAATCGGATGATTGCTGAAAGGGTCAGCATCCGCGAGGGATAGGTTACTTAAGTGCGGCCAAGAATCGATTGACTTATTCCTTGACACGGCGTAAGAGGTGATTTTTTGATAAATGAAGGCATTTAGGGGGAAGGATGGGCCTTGCCCGTTGCAAGACGAGAGAATGAGAGATACTCGAGATTTCGCTACGCCACTGTATCGTTCGCCGAAGCAATGTACGCGGAGGTTCGCTCGGTAGCGTTTGGTACGCATCGTTTGACATAGTGTTTCGGATACAAAACTAACTGCGGAACCTTGATCTAATAAAGCGCGCACCTTGAAACTGCGACCCTCATTGGTACGGAGGATTACCCACGCGGTCGCGAGTAAGACGGTCGGAGGGTTTTTAATCGGAGCACTAACGGTTTGCACCGACGCGACGGCAGGTTTGCTCTCCGGGGCAGCTAAGCTGCTCGATGGGGCTGAAATCGTCATTTTCTTTTCGGCGGTAGAATTTTTGCCTGTATTCGGGACCGTAGCGTTAGAATCACGATGTAAAAGAGTGTGATGCGCTCGTCGGCATAAAGTGCATCGTTTAGTGTTTGAACAATTGGTCGGAAAATGACCGATCTTCAAACAATTGAAACAGCACCTTTTTAGTTTGCAGATCTGAGTTCGCTCTTCGACCGATTTTCGCTTGAAGTCGTCGCATTGCGCGAGACGGTGATTGCCGGAGCAATGAAGGCATTTATCGGCGGTCACATTATTTATGGAGGCGCGATTGGAAGTTTTAATTTTATTAACAGACGCATCCGGATTCACTTTAGCGTGATCGGTGAGACCTCGAATACGCATGGTCATAAATTCTCGAATCTCTTCATAAGTCGGAAACTCGTTGGATTTTCCGCGTTGCAGATTCCACTCGTTACGCGTGCGTGGACTGAACTTTTGAGAAATAATGTACACCAATAAATCATCCCACTTTTCAACGGGTCTTTCTAAATTGGTTAGAGCCGATAGAGACGCGGCAACGGTATCGCGTAAATTCTTTAACTCGCCCGCAGATTCGGTTTTCATGATAGGCAACTCGGCGAAAGCCTGAATATGAGCGTGAATTATAGCGCGTTGATCATCATACTCTTCGACTAACAGTTTCCACGCAGCGTCGTAATTCGTGTCTGCAATCTGGATGTGGTTTATTAACACCGCGGCATCGCCCGTGACGCAGGCCTTTAAGTAATGCAATTTTTGCGTATTTGACAACGATTCTTGCGACGCGACGAGCGATTCAAAGATTCCGCGAAAATTCTCCCACTCGGTGAACTTACCGAAGAATTTCGGTAAAGAGATGCGAGGTAACTGCAACGAAGACGCACTGGTATCTTGTAAGGACGAGTCGCTTACCGAAGAGGCCGCGACGTCGGACCGGTCTCGGGAGAATTTTCCCACGCAATCGGCAAGATGATCGGCGGCTTCATGGTAAGCATCCTCGGCGGCTAAGAATTCTTTATCGGCAAAGTATTCGACGACGAGTTGGTCTTCGGCTGAGGCCGCCTGAAGGAGCCGCACGTTCAGTCGCTGACACCTCTCCCAAAGGGATTCCAGATCATTTGCACGTTTCTTCGCCTTATATATGGTGATGTTCGCCTTGCCAATCTTCTTGAAATTTGGTATTACTCGTTTAATTGCAGCAATCGTGGTGGATTGCTCGACGAGTAAGGCTTGGAGATCATCTGCCATGATCTCAAATTACAAACGCTGCTAATTTTAATTAAAGCACGTTAATTGTCTTATGCAGATTTGCGACAACCTGGTCGCAACGTATCAATAGCTCTCAGCTACGGAAGGAACCCGCACTCAAGAGGTGCGTAATTCGTAGCGAGTACGGAATACGTGAACTCGCTGGTCTGTGGATTACACAGAGCGCGAGCAGAGACGGGCTCTGGAGCCCTAGAAGTTGGGGTAGCGTTAAGAAACGCGGTAAAAGGCCGTTGAGTGCGACGCCGCAGATCATGCGGGCACACGTCGTTTAGCCACGTGCTAAGGAGCACGATAACTTCAATGGGCGCCGAAGGCGCAAATGGACTGTTCGACCTTGTAATCTTGCTCGGAGTCCCTTTCGATGTACTCGCGATCAGCTAGCCTCACGAGCGACTAATAGATCGTTCAGTGTCTGGCCGCGAATGATACGGCACTGCTGCTTCCGGCAATAGCTGGCTGGTTGCGACTCGATCCTGTCGCCCGCGTTGTTGGTACAGTCTTTGGAGTTAACTAGCACTCGCGCTCCGCTCACTCATCTCCTCAATTAATCTTCCGAAAATCCGGCTCGAAGGACCATTT